ACCACAATGCGTCGTTTGTCAACACAAACAACAGGGCGGGGTGCTTTTTTCCTTTTTTTTTTTTTTTCTACTCAATTATAACAGGGAAATGTTGAGGTCGGGGAACCTCACAATTCAACCCAGAGTTACCCTGGGAGCATTACCCAGTTTCGCTTACGAGCACAAGCTCGGAACTCAAATTACCATCCAAGCACAGAAGCTAGTCGGCTGGAAGTTACAGGATGAGATTATTTTCCTTAGTTTTCATTTTTGACAAAACCAAACAGCCCGCCAAATTGCATCGTTTGGCAACACAATCAGAATGGCGGGGTGGTTTTTCTACGTTCGCGATGTCATTCATTTTCCCCTCGCAACTGTTACACCAGGAAACATGACGACACTTGATTGCTGACGTGTGGGCTGGATGGTCGTGTGTTTTTTTCTTTTTTTTTCTTTTTTTTTCTTAGGATGGCCGTGTGTTTTCCTGGTTATAAAAGTTTTTCCAATAAATTATTAAATTAAACAAGAAACAGATGTTTTCCCGCGATTTCTAGTCGGAGCTTGCTTGACACACATCTGATCGTACATACAGCATCAGCGGAGGTCGGTGATGGTTTCGTGTTACCGGTAGTTGTCATTTTCCTTGAACAAAGAGTTTTTTTTTTTTTTTTTTTTAATCGGCCCCAGACAATTCATTAGTAGTTGGGTTTACTCATCAAGTTCCGTCATCTGTATTCGAACACGGGTCTGTATTTCAACAGTTCATGGGTGTACCCACTGAGCTAGGCTCATGGGTGTACCCACTGAGCGCTTTCTTTTTCCGCGTCCTCTTTACCCCAATAGAACACGCGCTGACCAGGGGTTCTATTCCTTACAACTAGGAATTGACCCCAGTGACGACCAAGGTTTGTTTTCTTTGTCTTTTCTGAAACCCTCGAAAAGTAGCTACCATTCCGAAAACATCGGAAACAAAATCCAGCGGCCTAGCTCAGCTGGTTAGGCACGGAAGTGGCATTCAGGATGTTGCGGGTTCAAGCCCCATGACCACGTGCGGCACACTTAGTACCAACAAACTGTGATAGTCCGCTTGATACCCCTGATCGGTATTAGTACGGTCTATGATCAACACGGGTGTGAGTGTGAGCATGAGTGGGTTGTGTGTAGTGTGTGGGAGAGTGGTGGCTATAGCCACTGCTGCTACTCTATAGGTGGTGAGGGAAGTAGATGGGAGGCGCAACTGCTGGCAAAATGCTCAACCTTTGTGTTAGCTGGCCCCCCCCAGCTGCGGCACCACCCTAATCCCTGACCACCACTGATTAGGGCAGGGGGCAACATGCATCCCCTTAGTTGTGAGAGGTAGCTATGCTTGCATGGGTCCCCCGTTGACCTGCTGTAATCTGAACGGTGTAGGATAAAAGGTGTTATTTTCGCCTCCTAAATTTTTAGAGAGGCTCATTCGGGTTCTGAACTTGCCTGTGGTCATGTGCTGGTTGTCAAGCACCTTCCAATGCGCGCGTCCGAAATGCACTATAGCAAAGTTGCAAGTTTATGGTTGTGAACGGGGGGGGGGGGATATTGCAACTTCCGTACAGTGCTTCACAAAATTTCCACTGATTCACACTCCAAACAAAATTTCCTACTCAGGGTCACCATCAAGGCCCAAATCCTATCTTTGTGTTATCTCTATCCATCCGCTATCAATGTTTATCCATATCATAGACATGTTTGTCAGATATGCACACTAACAACCAAGAGGGCTCTGACTCAATGCTTGAAAAAACGAAGTTGGTTTCTAAATCACCCTATACTAAAACCGTTGGCTGATTGTGCAGTTTTATTTGCGTGCAGTTTTCTAAATCACCCTACTCAGGGTCACCAGGGAATTAAAGCGTTGTTGCCTACTTCAGTGTAAAAGAAATTCAAAAGGAGAAAAAAAAAAAGAAAAAAAAAAAAACATATTTATGAGGATTAAGGAACACAGACCCAAACTATTCATATTTTTAAGATATCTTCTGTCTGTCTTTGCCTTCAATCCACCTAGAACAAAACTAAACTAAAAGGAGGAAAACCAAATAAAAGTAAAGTACTTGAAGCCATACAAGCATTCACTAACACTTTACTCTAATATTTTCAGACTATCCTCTCATAGCCTTCAGTCCAACAAAACAAGTTTGACAAAAAAGACATAGAAACACACATAAAAACTGAAAAGAGGTGCAAGAACTTCAAAGCATTTAAACATTCAGCAAGGCAGAAAGTGGGTATTTTTATGTGTACTGAGATAAAAGTTTTCTGAATTCCGTAGCAATGGCGCCTAACTACTTACACAAAAAGCGGGTGTGGCACATTTTTGTGGATGAATCCGGATGTAGAGATCACTATTTTAATGGAATAGCTGACTTATGAAAACTGGTGTGAACAATTGACATCGTTTGAAGTTTTCCAAAGTAGAAGTCAAAAGGGATTACAAGGGGAGTTATAATTTTGATTGTTACAACCACAAATAATATATGTGATGTAATTACTTTTTCTGAAAAGCAAATAGTTAAAAAGAAGACATAACTTCAGTAGAGTTACAAAAACGAGTTGTAATTGCACTCTGGGGCAAGATACTGTTTGCAATTGCACTTCGGACACCCTACCTGGCCAGAAAGCCGGGTTGCACACATTTCCCGAACTGCAATTTGAGACTGTATGTTGGCCTGTAGTGACTGGTCTGGCTCAGTTGGCACACCCCTGGAGGGAGATCCCACTACTCATGTATTTGAAAATAAATGAGCACCCATGTTTAATATGTGGTGAATGGATTACTGGCGGAGGGGGAGCAACGTAGTCATTCTTGTTTTGGCTTGCAAAGAGATTATTTTGACCACATTCTATGGACTGTTGATATAGACTCTTCTGCAAGCACAACCCAGAAAAAGGGACTGCCAAATGATCCATTAGCAAGAGCAAACTGGCTGGCTTGACCATATCTCAAGGGTATTGACCTTGTTTTAAATAAGCAAAAGAATAAAAAAATTGGTCCAAAAAAAGGTTTCTCTTTTTTTAATTGTTTGGATTTATTATAGACGAACGCAGTATCTAAGGCTTATCTGAATCATAGAGAATGTCCTCCGAACTCACGGGCCAACCGGCCTTAAACCCTACACCCGATCCAACGACTCGATTGGTTAGGCACGCAACTGGCATTCAGGAGGTTGTGGGTTCAAGCCCCATGATTGCCTGTGGCGCACTTAGAGTCAACCAGCTCTAACAGTACGCTTGATACCCCTGATGGGTATTAGTAGGGTCTATGATGAACACGGGTGTGAGTACAAGTGTGAGTGGGTTGTGTGGGAGAGTGTTGGCCATAGAGACTGCTCTTACTTGATTAGGGGTGGGGGAAGTAGATGGGAGGCGCATCTACTGCCAAAATGCTTACAATTTGCCGCCCTCCCCCATTGGCGGCCCCACCCTACTCCTTGACCACCACCAATTAGGACGGGGGGGGAACATGTATCCCATTGATTGTGAGAGGTCACGGTAGCTATGCGCGCAAGAGTCCTCTCTATGTGGTGGGTAGATTGTAAAAGGTGAAATTGAGAGAAGAATATAGCATACACATATAAGTATATATGTATATATAGGGTTCAGCCTCCTGATGAGTCGGTGAAACTCCAATGAAACAGTTTGTCACAGGCCCTTGTTTGTTGTCCTCTCCTAGCTCTCTGCCTACGGTTTACCGGGTAGCTTAGTTTGACTTTATATATATATATATTAAAATAAATTGGTTTGTGTTTTAGTGTTAGGGTTAGCGGCGTTAATGTGTGTTAATTAGGGTGTGATGTTAATTACAGTTCATTGGGGTGCAACGTTGCAGGCTTACGGGTGCTCAGCCGCAGTGGAGTTAATCCAGGGCAGCGAGCCTGGTTCATCCCTGCAGGCCATGGTTATTGATGTGAGGGACGCTGGGCCTGTTTCCCAGCCTGCGATGATATAATATACTCGTTTTTTTGTAAAAAACTAAATAAAAATAAACCCCTACACCCCAGACAGTGTTGCGCCGCTGTGGCACATCACTGACAGTCCGTATACTATTGCATCAGTTAGTTCCCTTCGTTTTGTTTTATATGGATTCGAACTCAGGTCTGCGTTGCGAGAATTAATGGTTGTAGCAATTGGACTGTACCCTCTCAATTTGGTTGCACAGGATTGACATGACAGGTTGTATTCATCTATTACCAGTGCACATTATGTTCAGGGAAAACCTGGTCGCAGGACACTGTTTTGCTTGCACGGGACCCTTTTGGCTGCCGACAGTGACTCCCATCAACTGCTGTGAAACCACCATGCACTTGGTGACGCTACTGTCGCAATTGGTGATCGTTCATGTTCCACATTGTCAACTTCGATTTTGAAATTACGAATTTGAAAATTTCAATAACGAATATAAACTTAACTAGGCCTTTTTTTTTTTTTTTTTTTTTTTTATACAAATTTGCCCAGGTGCAAAACCTGCCTCGAAAAAGCAACAGCCCTAGCTCAGTTTGTAAATAATAAAATCTTACATTAAAAAAAAACAAGGAAAAAAAAAGAACGTCTGAATTCCACCGGGGTCGAGTCCCACTAGCAGCGTTGAGCAACCTCAACGCCCGAATCTGGACGCTTTTGCGGAGATGTGCAGAAATGGTGTTGAGTGTTCTGAACTGCATGTCTCCACAAACACGTCCAGATTCAGGCGTTGAGGTAGCTCAACACTGCTAGTGGGACTTGGCCCCCGGGACTACACAATTTCAAGATGATAACTCAACTCTATTACCCACGCGGCCATGCAAAACGTCCCGGCTATAGTGCCGGGTCTTTTTTTAATGTGTTTTTTTTCTTTTGAATTTTTTCTTTATTTATTTTATTTATTTTTTTTATGGACATCCTGTCCGGATTCGACAGCTAATTGAGTTCGTTATTTTCCTATGTTCATATCCCTCCTAGTGGATTTGAACTTGGCGGGTGTAGCGACTGAGCTATGCTAGCTGGTGCCGGGTGGATTTTGTGACTTCCGCCACCGGGCCTTTTGATAAGCAGTCACTAAGAAATGGTCGGTCTAACAATTGAGCCAGGCTAGTTGGTGCCGGGTGGATTGTGCCACTTCAGCTACTCGGCCTTTCCATATCCAGTCGCCAGCAGGATCGAGTGGGCGCACCTCCTACGGGCGGCCTCGCTATGTCCCTCATTGCCTCTAGAGTTTACGCTGCTGCAAGCACCATCGCCGCCTCTCAAGGTCAGTTGCCCTCTGGTCGTCATCCTCTGTTTCTATGTCTCTGTCTCCCCTTTAGCGATTTTGAGGATCATCGATGTTGTCTCGACTCCTGCTCGTCCTTCTCCTCGTCTTGCCTTCCCTCCTCTGCCTCCTCCTCGATCTGCTCCTCTTCGATTACGGGGAGAGCTCCGCACCGCACGCGGTTCTTTTTTGTTTTTGCAGAGGATAAGATAACGTCCACTTTTTTTTTCCCCCTCAGGTAGTCGATGTCTTTTCTGAAGGCGATGATGATGATGTGTTTTGTAAATTGGTGGAGGGAATGATCATGGTGCTGCTGCTGCTGCTGATGATGATAACGATGATCATGTAGAGTACTCGAAAGAGGCGGACGAGGAGGACAACGTGAAGTGGGAGGAGGTGGTGGGGGTGTAGCGGCTCATGTGCATCTTCAAACTTATCATTATCATCCGCACGATGTCTCATTCTCTCCACCAATTTAGAAAAGGTCGAGTCGCTGTGTCTCCGTGTCTATGTCAGTACCCTGCTTTCGTCGTCATCCTCTAGAGTTCGTAGCCGGTCTTGTCGTTTGCGTCCGGATTTTAGCATCATCATCATGGAATCGTTGTTGTGGACGAAGACGAGGAGGGGGAGCACGAGGAGGAAGACGAGGAGGARGAGGAGGAGGAAGAGGAGGAAAAGAACGGAAGGACGTCTCTCTCTCTCTCTCTCTCTCTCTCTCTCTCTCTCTCTCTCTCTCTCTCTCTCTCTCTCTCTCTCTCTCTCTCTCT